CATCAAGATCAGCATCAGTAACCTCTGCCTCAAGAGGTATAGCTCCTTCAGTAGTAGCATATTCATTGGCATCATTAGTAGGCACAGATGAATCAGCAGTAGCATTTATAGATGGTTGTGTAGGTGCAGTTGTAATGTACATATGCTCATCATTGACACCAACATACTCTTCTTCATTATCAAAGATGTCAGGCACTTCATCAGCAACACCTTTGGATTGTTTAGGCTCTGTAGTAGTGGGCTGCACTAATGGATTAGGTTGCATTGATGGATCAGCCTGTGGTTCTGGATTATTAGGTTCTTCTGGTTCAGGCTGCATTGGTGGATAAGGCTCAAATGATGGAATAGGCTATGGTTCGGACCAAGTGGGATGTGGTAGGTGTGGATCTAAGTCAGGTGGAATAACACACAAGGGTTCTAAATCATCAAACTCATGCTGTTTTCACACAGTTTTTTTCCACCACAACTAAGATGACTTAGCAATGCATCTCTAACTTATACATTTCAAACAAGTTTTGGAACTGCACTTCATTCACAATCATTACATCCTCACCCGTAGTCTTGTCAAAGAACTAAACTGTGGCCTTCTGATTAAAGCTCCAACTGACCTCACTGGATAGGCTAGAAAGTAGCAAATCAAATGTAATTGTGCCTACCTCCATAGCCCAGTTAACAACCTTTCCCTTACAATACAATTTTTTCCCATCATTGTCTTTTGTCATAAAGGCTTCAACTTTGATCTCTAACGAAAACATAGAAATTCTAGCACAACACAAATGAGAATGGTAATAGTCAAAGCTGAATTGGAACAATCAACAGCGGAAAAAGCCTAATTTGAAACCTACTTATACCGCATAATCGTCCTGAGTTAGCCCATGCCACAGTCAACCACGAGTTAGCCTTCCACAACACGAGAACATTCCTAGATCCGGGGTCGACGTCTTCCGGCGTCACCGCCGATGGCGCAAGCGGCATGTCGTCGCTCTTCATGGCCGCTGCAACCCTACTGGACCAGGGCCACAACGACGTCGACCTTCATGGTTCGAGGATACCCACTACGCCGAGATCCAGTGCACCGCCGCCAAGCGCCTAGCCGTCGCCGGTGAAGAAGATTGCCGCCGCTCAGTTCTTGGGTTAGGGATTGGGGAAGGGAGTGGGGAACGGGACGAGAGAATGGACAGAGAAGGCGGCCGTCAGTAGCCTTATCCTTTCGCGGGAGGGTAAAATGGTCCATACCGAAATACGCCTCCCTCCTATACACCTAACAGTGGGTCCAAGATGGTGTCGGGCGTAGATAGTGGCATATCTCAAACAACCGCGGAATTATAATGGCACTGGTGTAGTTAGACAAATAGAAATGACACGCTTCAAAAACGTGACAATTATAATGGCACAGATCCAATTAACCCATGAATAAAAGAGTGTTGAGTTCTTCCCTTGCAACGGTCCGGGTCCAGCTGAAGGGGTCCGGGCAGTGTTGTCTTGCGGCATTTGTTCTCGCTCGCGAGCTGGTCGGCCCGGCCAGCTGTTTTGATTTTTGAACAAGTAATTAATTAGATATGGATGCGTGGTAGCAGTACTGTGGATGGAGGTGTCCGGTTCATGCTACAGCCTACAGACTTCTTTTGCGGTGTGTGAGGGAACGCATGCATTTTTTTTAGTGAGAAGATATAAGCTTAATTTTACATGTACTACGTACCGTTTAATTTATATTACTCAAGAACGCCTTATATACGTCTTGAAGGAGGCATGTATGTGCGAATGCGACTGGTTTAGTTACCATTATCAACTGCAGTTCAGTGATTAGAAACCACAAAACAGAAGTTTTTATATAGTATGCCCCAGTTAGATCTTACAGAAAGCAGCTGTGTTGATGAAGTGAGAGTTCCGGAGGAGCTGTTCGACTGGTATTAAAGCCGGCTGATAAACCGACTGAAACTGATTTATTGTGAAAAAAAAATACTGTAGATTATACCTGATAAGTCGGCTGATAAGTTCTAGTGAACAGGCATGCTTGGAAGGAATGAAGGGGGTGCCATGGACAAAGCGATGTTAAACGGCCTGATCGCTAGGCTGGGGCTGGCTGGGCTGGCTGGCCAGCCTCCTCACATGACTACTATTCATATGAACCAGTCAGCGGTACTTCTCTCTCACATAAACGAACCAACAACGATACGATCCAGCCAACCGAACAGCCTGAAAGCTGCTTGCATCTCCTACACGTATGGTGAGGCAAATGAGCCTCTATTTACCTGCTGATAAATGCAGCTAATGCCTCGTTTAAATTCAGGGGCTAAAATTTAGGGGTGTCACATCGGTGTGTCACATTGAAATGTTTGAATAGTAATAATAAAATAATTTATAAAAGTCCTCGGTACTCCACGAGATGAATTTATTAAACCTAATTAACCCGTCATTAACACATATTTACTGTAGCACCACATTATCAAATCATGAAGTAACGAGGCTTAAAAAATTCGTCTCGTAAATTAATCGCAATATGTACAATTAGTTATTTTTTAAGTCTATATTTAATACTTCATACACGTGTCTAAATATCCGATGGGATATGAACTAAACTTAGAAGAGGAACTAGAAAGGCCTAAATCTCACTGGTGACCGAGAGTAATCTGACCTAATTGCAGTTGGAGGCACCGCACCACACATCATCTCAACGACGATCTAGACTCTAGAGTACGTACAAGTACATGTCAGCCACATCCTGGCTGGCCTGCCGTTACAGTGGCACGCGACGTGGGTATCCTCGGATCATGGATGGATCCCTCGGCCACGAGCCTGTGACCTTCACATGCTTCCCGCCCTGCACGGCACAGTCCTTTGCTCCGCGGTTAATTACCTGATTACCTCCCCCAATTTACTGCACGCCCGGCCCATGCATGCACACAGGCACAGCACATATTGTTTTTTCTCGATCGGACCTTAAGGCCCGTTTTTCATTAAGAGGGAGACACAGCACACATTGCACGAATAGGCACGCACAAGCTTGGGAGGATTGCAACGGAGGTGCTGTCGCCCTTGATGCTTGACCTTGACGTGCTAATGCCATTGCGACGTCACAAGTACGTACGTGGCTCGGCAAGACACTGACAAGTGATAATAAGGATCCACACACCGTACCGTGTACTCGACGTGCGTAGATGGACGCGTGCGTACACACGGCAGGCGGCTCGGTTGGCCGACCGGCGCTGCACCTCATCAGAAACCAAACCAACCAGTCCACAACTGGCGGCCTGCAGGTCCCGCTGCAATGGTCCATGGATATCGATCCAATCCAACACAACAGTCGCGTGGCGTGGCGTGCACTCGCGACGAGAGGAGAGGAGCCTCGATCGGACACGGCAGCTCAACCAGCAGTCAATGCGACCGAATTTTTTGTTTTTTGGTCCCTTTTCTTTTTGAAAGTTTTTCATTAAAAAAAGGGAAAGAAAAAAAAAATTCGGGCAACACCGCACGCTGCAGCGAAGAGGCGCCAAAATCTCGCTGCTCTCTCTGGCTCGCCAGCTTGGCCGGCGTCGGTACAGCACAGCGAGGTCCATGGCACCGTCCACCGGCACAAGTCACACCGTGGAGTAACTACTGCTCCTCCTCCGTCCATCCATTCATTCATTTACCCCTCCACCACCACCCCCACCACCCGCGTCTGTGACTGAGCCAGCCAGCCGGGCTCAGCCCAGCCAGCCAGCCGAACGCACTCTATGGCTCTTGCGCGCAAGCTGCTTTGCTGCTGCTATTCCTGCCTGCCTGCCCGCCCCCTCGCTTCATCGGCTGCTCTGCGCATCCACCCCATGCATAGCTAGCTGGAACTGGAAGGAGTACCCGATGCGATGGTAGCTGCTCTATATGCAAATATGCAATGTTTTCATTACTAATAAAAACCCTGCTTGGGGCTACCTTCGCTGCAGGGATTGCAGGTTGCTTTTTTGGTGTTTAGAGCAAGTATAATTACCAGCAAGCCCTAGTAGTAGTGAAGTGCGGTAGCGGTAGATCCAGAGGCCATGAATGCGCTTGCATTGAGTTGGCTTTTTGAGAGAGAGCCAACAGTTAAAGCGTTGATGAGGGAGGACTGCCCCTGCCCGTCCTACTGTCGTCGCAACAGCAGCGTAAATGGCACCTTGCTCTGCTCTTGCCAGCTGTAAAGCTAAGGTCCATGATTAAAAAAAAAAATTGGCTGCACTGTTTTCTTTCAGACGAGCTAAGGAATTTGATGAGCATTGGGGAGGAGAATGGTGAATTGGGGATATATACCAGTACGTTTCCAAATCATTGTCGTCCTACCGAGGCCTTGTTTAGATTGTCCCTAAATAAATTTTTTCACTCTCTCTTCATCACATTAGTTTTTTGGACGTATGTATGGAGCATTAAATGTAGGTAAAAAAAGTAACTAATTATACAGTTTGGTTGTAAATCATGAGACGAATCTTTTGAGTCTAGTTAATCCATGATCGGATAAAGTTTGTCAAATACAAACAAAACATACTACAGTATCCAGATTGCAAAAATTTGCAATCTAAACGAGGCCAAAAGAGCGCTTGCAGTGACAAATTTATGGAAGGAAAAAAAAATCGATTGCTCTTGTACGTCGGCACGTCGCTCAACTCGCTGCAGGCTTGCACTGCTCCAACCATGACAGCACGACAGCGCAGTCACTGGGGAAAGAAAGAAAAAATGGGCCAGGCCCACTGTGTAAACAAGAGGCTAGCCAATCGGCGGCGAGCCCATCCAGCTGACTTCTGTCGTCCATCTTTGTTAATAAAAAGTTTCTGATTTTCCTTTCCTTTTACAACTCCAAGATCAGACATTTTACCCTCTGAACTCCCCAAACCGTTCAAATTACTTCCCTGCCTTGCCTTGCTTCATCTTACAACGTTCTTGATACATACACAATCACATATTGATGCTATCAAGCGCAGAAGAGGTTACAAAAAGACATTCGTGCAGAGGCCCCAAGAGGCAAAGGGACAGAAAACCAGCCAGAATGCCTAGTTGTACACCATATATTTCGGCGTCGCACTGAACTTTTGGTACCCCTTTATCACCTTGTTCACGGCATCCAGGAAATCTTTCTCCGTCACCGTCTTTCTGCGCGCGCGGATGGCGTACATGCCGGTCTCCGTGCACACACTCCTGATGTCAGCACCTGTGGCAACATATGGGCATGACAATGAGAATTGAGGACTCTCCAGAAACATACCATTCAATGGAAACAGGCATGGCAATGAGAATTGAGGACTCCAGAAAAAAAATACTCACCGGTGGAGTTGGGGCAGAGGCGAGCAAGAAGCTCGAAGCGCAGTTCATGGCGCGGGTGTGGATCTTGAAGATCTGGGTGCGGACCTCGAGATCCGGCAAGCCGAACTCAACCTTCCTATCCAGCCTCCCTGGGCGCAGCAGGGCAGGGTCCAGCTTATCCGGCCTGTTGGTGGCCATGAGCACCTTGATGTTGCCCCGAGCGTCAAACCCATCGAGCTGGTTCACAATCTTGAGCATAGTGCGCTGGACCTCATCGAATCGAGCGCCGCCAATGGCATCAACCTCGTCGAAGAAGACTATGCACGCCTTCTTTGATCGGGCCATCTGGAAGAGTTCACGGACCATGCGCGCACCCTCGCCGACATACTTCTGAACCAGCTCGCTGCCTATCACTCGGATGAAGCAGGCGTCCGTGCGGTTGGCGACTGCTCTGGCAAGAAGGGTCTTCCCAGTTCCAGGAGGACCGTAGCAGAGGACTCCCTTGGGAGGATCAATACCAAGCTTGACGAACATTTCAGGGTGAAGCATGGGAAGCTCAACAACTTCACGCATCTTCTCAATCTGTTCCTTGCAGCCACCAACATCGTTGTATGTTACATCAGGTTTTTCTTCAACTGTCATCATTGTAACGCTTGGATCGATTTTGGGTGGCAAAGGAATTTGAATCTGGTACTTGTTCCGATCAACTCTGTTATAAACAGGATCAAAATCAGCACAATTTAATTGACCATATAATGCTTTAACTGATACAGGAACAAGATTTTACTGCACAGTGGAGTACTTATATGGAACAAACTACTGAGATCATGTGTACATACACAATTTCAATACTTAAGTCAAATTTGCTCTATTCAAGGGTGGACCCAGTTCAGTTTGATCTTTCATGTGTACTACAAGAATGTTGAGTACGTTGGGCAGTTAGCCTGATTCTAATTCCTGAGAACTTCCTACTCAATCGACAAAATTTCATGAACTTAAACTAGACTTTGGGGAAAGGTTCCAACATCATCGGAAATCCTGATCACTAAAGTTCCACTTGAAAAAAATATCAAAACAATTATCATTTATTTATTAAGTATTACGTCCATTGCATGTAACACCACTACTTCAGCATTAGCAGTTTAAACCAATGCCATTATCAGGAAGCATAACCAAATACAAGGAAATTTCTAAATGCAAATAAAGATGATGGTATAAAACACTAAAGAGGGATCCAGGACGTACCCAACTCGCATGCCTTCTTCAATATCAGTTGGTGACACTTTGTCTCCCAATCCTACCACAAACTGCATACCAAAATAAAACTTAATGAACCATCAGGTACCTCCAACATTGCCCTGTTCATTTGGCTGATAAGCCATGGCTGAAAGTACTGTTGGCTGATTTGTTGATGAGAGAAAAATACTGTTTGTTGGCTGAAAAAATACGGCTTATAAGCTAAGCCAACAAGGCGATCAACTTTGTAAATATGAGCATGCCGTACCTTTGCGATTTGTTTCAAAGTTGTGACATATTTGGCATCATCAGTATTAGGACTGATGATTTTTGTGCATCTTGCAACCTTCATGCAAAAACATATTTGTTAGAATAGCACCGAGAAAGCATAAGAGCAAGGCACAATGCAACAACTAATCGCCTGCGGTGCATTCAAATAGAGTGATTAGGTGAAGGTCGTGGGATTTACCTGCAACGGTTGCTCCTCCTGCATCATCTGCTTGTCTGACACGAGATCCCATTGGCTTGGTGGAGCCAGTCCAGTATCCGACTCCTTGATGCCTGGAATTCAAGAAATTTACAGATCAGATCAATTTAATGCACTGCACTGGGCTCATACAATTCACAATTGGTAAAAGCTGCTCAGAACTGGGGCAGGCAATTTGCCTGTTTCGACATTGAACTTAAATATACAAGCAACATACATCCCTAAAAATCCATAACCAAATTATCCCAAGGTTGACGTACGACAAAGGTCATCTTTGCCAACTCCATCTCCTTCTCGATCTTCTTGATGATGATCGAGTATGGCCCCAGCCCCTATTAGAGAACAAGACATCGCAATTGTTATAGTCAGCAATGCCCAGCCAAATCGACGCATCAGTAATGAACAAGCAGCTTATGGAGAAAGCAAAACTTGTTTCACCAAAAAAAAAGCAAAACCCTAGATGTCGCAGTCAACAGAGAGCTTAATTTCCCGCATCATCTCAACCCAAGTTAAGTCCACATCGCGAGGGCATGAAAAGCAAATCTTCCGCAGCAACCGGCCAGTAGTTCATGCTTGTGCGGAAGGTAACAGGAACCAGAAAACCTACATGTACTCTCAGCATGAACCTAGCGGTCTAGTCTAGCACTCAAGAATTGAACCCTAGCCGTGAGCCAGGCTGGATCGACGAGAACAGCGATGGGGAGAAGGGACCAATCGGGACTGGGGAGAACAGCGACGGGGAGAAGGGACCAATCGTGCCTGGGGAGACCGGGAGACACTCACGTAGGTCTTGATGAGGGCGATGTCGCCCTCGTCGAGCGGCCGCGGATTCTTTTCGACCATGATATCGTCTTCGGGCTCCGGAGCCATGGTGTCGTCGACGGCTTGCTGCCTCCTCTCCGGCGACGGCGACGGCGACTTTGCGAGGGCGCTTGGCTGGGTCGCTACGAATTTATTTATAATAACTCCGTCGTCCCAGGCTTGTGCGTTCAGTCCGATGTCTGTCGATCACGGATCGACGGTGGATTTATATAGGGTCTCAATTCTCAAACTCTCACGGGTTGTATATCGAGTTGGAGTCCCAGGACCCAGGGACTGCGTTCCCGTCTCGGCCATGTTCCTCTCCTTTTCGCCTTTTCACACTTGCTGATCACTTGCTGAAAGTCACGGATCGACGGTCCATTAACTTTTGTTTCTACCTGTAGTTGGGTGATCTTTATAAATTGTTACAATTGAAAAGTCATTTATATAGGGTCTCAATTCTCAAACTCTCGTGCGTCACGGGCTGTCCCTCACGGGTTGTATATCGAGTTGGAGTCCCAGGAGGCCAGGACCCAGGGACTGCGTTCCCGTCTCGGCCATGTTCCTTTCCTCTTCTTGATCACGGATCGACGGTCCATTAGGGGTCACAGGTGAATATCGGCAGTGCAAGGAGCAGGGTCCAGCATGGCAGCAGCAGCCGCATTGTGTAGCCTAGCCCTCTCTTCCATTTGTGTGTTCTTGTCCGTTTTTGTTTATTTCGGTTGGCTTCATGGCAGCGCTGTTGCTGCTGAACTTCACTGTTTCTACAGTGTAGTGTCTATAGATACCAGCAGCAGCAGCCCCAGCGGCTGGCTTCGGGCCTATGTAGCTGTTCAGCAGTCGAGAATTGAGAAGGAAATAATTCAGCATTTACCCAAACATCTTACAAGAGAAATATGCATGTCACATTTAAAACGTGTAGCTTACACCAACATTTTTCCTTGCTATATAGTCCCCAGACCCCAGAGGATCGGCTCCAATCGTATTCACCTAAACAATCCCTTTTAATTTTTCATTGCAAAGAAATGTATTCACTATAATCTTAAACGATCCCTTTTAATTTCTCATTGCAAAGAAATGTTGAGATTTTATTAACTCAAGGCAGGGTTACACTCCAGACGATGCAAGGCAAAAAAAAGGGTGTGTGTGGGGGGGGGGGGGGGGGGTTTCTATCCGAGAGTTGGATGCTAAAATGAGTGAAAATTCACATTATGCCTAGTCTACCTGTAGTTGGGTCTGTTTCAAATTGTTACAATTGACTCTATTTTAAAGCATACAGAAATTATGTACATTTTAAGTTCAAAATTTAAACAGCCCTCGAATGCATTTGTTAGGATAAGATTGCTCGGCAGTGGCACCATGCTTTAATTAATTAATATAATATAAATAATTCATCACTATACCATAAAAGAATAATATGCGCAATGTCTACAGATCACAGCTACTCCTCGATAGCGTAGTACTGCGGGGCGAGCTCAGCCAGCCACAAGGGGTCAATACGGGTCAGGTTCTTGACGTAATTCTGTGTCGTCCGAACTAGCTCGTTGAAGACGACACAGTCGGGCTTGGTCCTGAAAAGCACGGATGAAGGGTGGATCTGCACGCTCTGGCCAGTCGCAAGGGCCCTGCCAAACGACAGGTAAAACCTTTAAGATGGGGAGGATCGTAGTCCTCATCACAATATTAATATAAACTCAAACATGCAGCATTCTTCAGGTTTTGGTTGGTGTGATCTAAGTCCCAGATTAGTTTAGGACAGTACTCTTTGATTAAGATGCATGAGAAAGATATCCATGGTGAGGCATTTGGATTGAAAATATATAACATGGAATGATACCTGTATGATCCATCGGGCTGTCGCATTGCTGCATTCAAGAAGAAGGCAGACGTAAGGCATCTCCGAAACAGAACCATGTCATCTCCACATGATGACAGGTTTAGCCCCATTTGTTGGACATGGCCCTGGATTTGACTGCAAATGACAGAAAATTGCTATGTCAACTTGCAGCATGGTCTAGAGGTCCTAATAAAAGTCAAAACGTACATGTTTCCATTTCATTTTTTAAATAATGATGTTCAAATCTGATTTTCATAGCTCAATCCCTCCAACCATAATAAAACCAAACTCGCCCTTCCCCTGTTTTGCAATACACTGTTTCATGTATGCAGCAGGTTCAGCTGGCTCCCCTACACATCTGAGAACTTTAAAAAAAGCTTTGTGCATTTCTTAAATTTATGGAAAGAAAATGCATACATGTAGACCATGTATAATTATATTGACACACAAAATTTCATGACAAAATTGACCACATGCCTTCTGTGCAAAAAGATAGGTATTTTGTCTTTTTGTGCAGCTCACATATGATCAAGTTTATCATTTTTTATTGAGAAAAATGTAAGTGATTTGTCTTTTTTTTGTGTAGCTCACACATGGTCAAATTTTCCCACAAAACTTTGTGTGTCAGCAGTGTCCACGACCTAAAAGAACATATTTTTCACTAGTTTGAAAATGTACAAATGTGTTTTGAAAATGGGGTGTAGGTACACACACACACAAAAAAAAAAGACAATACTTATCTTTACCACTCTTTCGCAATGCTTTCCCTACTTCATTAAGACATCAGCGGGTGTGCTAAACTACTTATTACATTCTAACTCCCTACACCTACAATAGTGCTTCTGTACAAGTACTTTGAAACAGACAGCAGAAACTAGAACTAACCTGTGAACATCGCGAGCATGTCTTAGAGAGCGGTAGTTGATAAAGTTTTCCCTGCACCACCTGTTCAAAGCCTTTTCCATTGTTTTTTCTTTGGCATTTGCATTTTTGCTCTTCTCCAAGCATTCTGCAGCTGCTCGATAGACATTCACTAATGTGATATGGTCTCCTTCAGAGCTTTCGAAACCCTTCCTGGCAGCTCTTGCCTATAGAAAATAAATTAATGGGTCAATTATTGCACTATTAGCAGCGAGTAACACACTGATTTCTTTCTCATCACAAAACAAATCGAGTTTCATTATCTTGTGGCCAATAGGGAAAGAGTGGCACAAAGGAAATGTGAGCAAAAAACAGATTGAAGCATATGCTTATTTATGATTAAGCAAAAAATTAATCATGATTTATGTATAAAGGTACCTTTTTAAGGTAGCCTAACAACAAAGACCATCAATTTTCTATACAGCTTGTAACAAATTTGATGGTACTAATTTTTTGCACATGAACAATCTAAATGGCTGTTCACAGATAGCAGTCAAAGTTAAGTTTAACCACTCAAATTCTAGAATGCCATATATGATACATTTCTGAATGGAGTGCATGCATTTTCTTTATACAGTTTTCCTTACTGGAAATCTCCCAGTTCTCACTACCAACAAGCTACTAACAGGAGCATTTGATGAAAAGTGTGCCCCAAAGCTACAAAATGACACCTGTTTGCAAAGCAAACACAACCCCCTAAAATAAGTGAACCGAGGGAATAACTCCACAATATCAGATAAGAACCAAATTGTGACATATATTTTGCAAAAAGCCAGTAATTCAAATGGATACCTCTTCTAACTTCTCACGCATGGAGAAGAAAATCGATTCCACTGAAAGCATAGATACAACAATGAGCATTTCTTCCAAGCACTTTAATTTTCTTGATACAATTAATGCCTTGGAGTACATTGGATCCAAAGGCAGCCTAGCCATCTGATGACCAACTGGATCTGAGAGCTTATAGTCATCAGTCAGAGCCCCTAGTAAGATTAACTGCTCCAGTGATTTCAGAATAGCAGTCCTGTAGTAGGTTGGAGTTTGGACGCCAACAAGCAAAAACTCAGCACTGATATAAAGCAGCAAGCTATTTAACTTATAATTACTGAGAAGCCTAGGTAAAAAACTTCAGTTTGTTTCTATTAGGTGTTACCAGGACGAGTGCAGATCATAAGGTTCATAAAGAAGTCTAGGTCATGGGTTTTCTTTACATATAAATTTAAAGCTGGGTACATGTGTCGAGCAATAAAATACATTAAACACAATAACATAAATTGCATCCTCTCATCACTGATATTTAATTCCCCTCGAGACAGTAATAGTCCAGTATAAAATTCAAGCACAAAAGCACACACCAAATAAAAATGATTCCGCACATTTTTCTTTTATGTAGAAGCAGTCTTAAAAAATTACCTTGATGGTTTCTCCATAAAATCGAAACCTATGATGTCATCAATTCCAAGAGCCTTGAGTTGCAGAACAACATTTGAGAGGTTACACCGCTTGATCTCAGGCACAGTAGAATCCACCAGTTTATCAAACTCACTTTCTTGGAACAATCGGAAGCACTTCCCTGGTCCCTCGCGTCCAGCACGACCACTGAGGATAGATTTAGGATGTTAGAAAAGGCATGCAAATAAAAAGGGACAAGTATTCATTTATTTGGTTGAATATCTGCAAAGTGACCATATGCCTTATTAGCAGAACCATGTGCAGGTGCAACAGATATAAGCAATAAGATACAGAACACCCAATCATTGCATGGAGATTCATTCTACCACTACCATGCTGGCAACCGCTCCTTAGTAGACTGCAGGAACTCTTTGTGATCTCATATATTAGGCATGAAAAATTAAACAAGCAAGATACATATACCTCCTTTGAAGAGCCTGCGCTTTAGAGACTGGGATGATGATTAGTGATTCCATTCCAGTCACAGGATTGTAAGCACGAGCTTTTACCATCCCAGGATCTATAGGTGTGTTTTTGAAGGACCTACTTTCAGCTTGGGTGGTGTTTTGGGTTTTGCTCTAGAAGAGAGTCGGCTTTGGGCTGTGGCGGGGGCTCGGGGGCTATCTTTCTTGGCTTCCCAGCCTCCCCCTCCCCTGTAGCCCTGTAGTCTGGAGGACGTATAGTCTTGGTCGCCTCTTTGTTTCCACAGGCGCATTATTACTTTTATTTTGGAGTGGTGTGGTGTGTGTTGTAACTGGGATCTCTCCCCCTTTTTTTCTCCTTAATATAATGAAGCGTAGTTCTCCTGCGTTTTCGAGAGAGAAAAACATATTTGATGCCAGGTATTGTTACTGAAGTCTCAGCAATATTTGTAGCTAGAACTACCTAGCAGAGGCAAATCAGCAAAAAGTCAAACTTAGCTTAACAAACTGTGGTGCGGGGCTTTCAAGGATAAGTGAAACACTGAAATGACTGCAAAGGAAAACAAATTACTAAATGAACCATTGAGAAGAATGAATCTGTATGGGAAGAACAATAGAACACGCAAAGAGAAGGATTGTCTTTATTAAAAGTAATTCTAATCACAAACACCAATAGCGGAGAACAGTAACCTAAAATAAAAGGCAAAAATTTTCTTCTGCAACTAATGTTATGAACTTTGTGAAAGCTAATAGATTGAGCAGAATGATTTCGCCATTGCTATATGGCTGTTATTGTACAACAACGAGTGTACATGTAAGGAAAAAGAATTAAAATGCTCTAATGTCCTCTAATTTAGCCTAATCACTACAGGCTGTACATGCAGATATGATCTGCTAGCCAATAATGGCTGAGATATGAGGACAAGCAAGAGCTAGGATATTGCCATTCTAACACTTTGGTCAATAGTGACCTAAAAGTGTGTTTTTCACATTTATTAGGGGCAAGCAAAATGATCAAATGACAGTTAATACATTTTTCCTTTTAGTTGATCTTAATTACAACAATGTTTACCCAGAGGACCAACAATAGCAAGATCAATTCTGTTTCACTTTATAATGGCAAGATCAATTATATACTCCTTTTCCTGCCCTTCCTCTTCTTTAATACAAAGATAGCTGTATGTTTGAGAAAAAAATTGGCATCATTTTAACATATGTCACGTAGCAGGATCATGTTAGCATCAAAGGAACCTGCAGACAAATTTGGACATATATGAAACACATGCAGAGCTTTGTTTAAAGCCTGCAAAGGATTCAGACAGACCATCGATAAATGGACATTAGTAATCATCCATTTCCTTATAAAGGGCATGATTTGTTTTTCACATACATAGATGACAACTAATTAACTGTAGAAAGATGAAATAATTGACTTAATCTCCATGTAACAAGAAGGTTTCATCTAGGAAAACAAACCACACTAAAAGCATGTACACAAATAAATTATGCTACACAATTCCTTCATAAAAAATGATTGAGTAATCCATGATATTCCCTCTGATTCCATATATAGGCCATTTTAGATTTGTGGATAAAGAATAAAGAAGAGGATCAAACAACCTTGATGAGCTTCATTTATACTGCATTCGGAAGATGGCTTATTCATTTGTGAGAGATAGTGACATTTATTAAGCAGGGGAAAGGAGGGAAGCAAAGGGTACAAAGTGTATATATTAGTTATAGGATGACTTGTATTTAGAGAAATCTTGAGAAGGCTAAAATGACCTACATTTGGAATCGGAGGTAGTACATAAAAAGAGAAATGGAGGTATGCAATTCTTTTAAGAAGGATCCTATTGAAACATGACATTCAGTACCATCAGTACCCAATTGATGTTTACCTTGCGGGTTCCAACTGGTGCTGGCTTAAAAGCATTCATTTGCTGTTCTGATGGGAGAGATGAATAGATAGGTGTAACCCATATCTTACTACTTTCTGGTGGAAATAAACGAGCACGCTCATGAATAAGTCTCTCCAGTGATTCAATCTCCTCTTGGCTAGTTAGAAATGCTAGAATGTCCCCAGGCCCTTCCTCCAAATGAATCTATCAAATCGAAAAAAGGGCGTACTCAGTGCAGAGAGCTCCCGCTCTGTGCGGGGTCTGAGGAAGGGTGTTAGTGGCAAACCTTACCCTCGCCTGTGCAATGCGAGAAGACCGCAACTCGAACCCGGGACCTTTCGGTCACAGGCGGTAAGACTCTACCGCTTGCACCAGGCCCGCCCTTCAAATCTATCAAATCAAACATCTAAAAAAATGAAGTTTATACAGAAAAGGCAGGATTCATTGAGTTACAATTGGATAGTAGGTTATGCAAGAAATTAGTCATCACTACGGTTATATATATATTCACTCATCATGTTTTCTGAAGCTTTTTCCCCTTTCTTCCGGAAGTCCCATTTATGTAGATTTCTATTTTCTTTCCTAGTCTATAAGCCAACTACAGATTGTATGGAACAAAAGATGATGCTCACCTGAAAGATAGTAACTAATGTGGCATCCATATAATCCGACTCAGGCTGATAAGTGTATAGTATGTCAACTGGATATTGCCGACCTTGAATATGCACAGCTTTAGCACCACCAAAATAATCAGAAAAACACTTAGCATCCAAACTAGCAGACATAATTATCAGCTTTAGAGGAGCACATCTTGTTCCCTGGCATGCCTTAAGAGTTAAATTTTGAGAATGGCCCTGTACATCAGGCAAAATCTTCCCATTTTTATTGGCATTAGCTCGTGAATGCTGCACTTTTTTCAACAAACCCAACAAGACATCTGTATGAACAGTTCTTTCATGAGCCTCATCAACAACTATAACACTATACTTAGACAAGAATGGATCCAAAAGTGCTTCCCTGAAAATCCAAAGTAACCTTTTGATTAGAAAAAAGAAACTTCACGCATCAAACAAAAGAAATGTAGACCTATTTTTTTCCAAAAAGAAAAGAAAAGAAATGTAGACCTATGCCAAGACTATTGCCACACATATATCAGTATGTAAAATGATAAGGTATAATTGAATGAAAAATTCACTCTAGAAGGTTTAAACAGCACCGGAAAAAAATCCACATTCTGCTAAACAAGTTTCAATGCAGGTGTATGGACAGTTACCATGGCAAAATGCTAAAATATAAGAGATGCTTGAAAGTACAAAATAAAAGGAACATTATGAGACAGAAAAAGGGAATTGTGTATCAATGCCTTCTGTTCTTCAGTTCCTACTTCATAAATGATAAAACAACTATATATGGGATTGTAACTATAAGCATATTAAAAAGGAGACCTGCAGGCTGCAGTGCATATAATCTGTACACCTTCCAAAAAGCATACACATCATTCGTGGAACTTAAATTATTGGGGTGGGGTGGGTTAACAATTGAGACAAGAAACCTAAACCTTTTGGCTCTCAAACTGCTCACAAAAAAGGCAACTACCACATCAAAGAGGATCAAAGACTAACTTACATGCCAATAACAAAAAAAACTAACTGGTTATCAAACAAGCAACAAAGCAGTAACACATCATTACCTCAGAAGCAAACCATCAGTCATGTACTTAATCCTTGTTGCATTGGATGTGGAATCATCAAATCTGATGGAGTATCCAACCTTTTTGCCCAGCTGGTCGTTGCATTCCTCCGCTACACGCTTTGCTACTGTAACAGCTGCAACTCTTCGAGGCTGAGTGATGCTAATGACTTTACCATCCTGACAAAAACCGCCATCGTACAAAAATTGTGGAAGCTCTGAATGACCAAATTAAAGAAAATATTGCTTCTTCAAAGAATCAAAGTAGAACGAAAGGTAGGAGACAGAACACAAATACTAGTATGGTATGTTTCTGCAATTATAGATGAATATGTAAACAAACACATTTTGTAACATGCTTTCTGTCAAACAATCTGTACTAAACCTAAAAATAACTTTCCTAAGCAAGCAATCCCACTTGGAACGACATTAATATGAGATTACAGTGGGAAGATTCCATTTCACTTCTACAATAATAGTCCTTTTGTTAATTAATACTGTAATGTTATTGAATACAAATGTTTACAAACCCACAAACAAAAGCAATCCACAGCACCACTTTCACTAATTTATGCCCAAAACAGTTACATCTGAATCAGAGCCTATTCACACTAACAACCAAAAGTTTTGGAAAGCAGCGTGTTTCTATCAATTACTTCATCCAAGCAACAATTGTGAAAAGGGGAACACAGAAACATACTCACGAGTAGGTTTGCCACTCCCAGTCTCGCCAACAATGATCACTGTGTCGTTCTTCCTCACCTCCTCAACTAGCCTCTTCTCCACTGAAGCAACAACAGACAACAAAATTCAGCTCCCTGAGCTAACACCCCCCAAAAATATCATAGTGAACAGACATCTAAAAGCTCTGCAGGCAAACCTGACGCAATGGGGAGCGACTTTCGTTGTTGCTGAATCAGCTGCCTCCATCTACGCAAGCCAACCAACCAACGCAATTACGCGAAGGTCTCAATCCCCAGGTCAACGAATGAAACAAAACAATCGGAAGGAAACAACGTCAACGAGATAAGAGTTGGCACCTCGCGAAGTGCTGCTGCTTTGATGAGGCGCCAGCAGAGAAGGACGGCATCTCGGATGCTGACGCTGACTCCCGCGCCCTGAATCTTGCCACGGTGGCAGGCCGGGGGAGCCAACCACGATTAGCCGGAACCCGCGAGCCCGAGACAGAATGTGGGGGAAGCAGGAGGCGGGAGGCGGGAGGTTTTTGAGCCTTTTTAGTGCGTGCCACCATGAAAGATATTCACCAAAAAGTTCACACGGATTCTGGTGATATGACACTAAACTCTTTTGTCCAACACGCCATTCCGTCCAGTTTTGCTCCTAACGATGGGTAACAGCGTAGCCAAATGACTTAGATGCCCTTAGGCTCGAGAGGCTCTATGAACTCGTTGGTTTGCTTCTGTGCCATTCCCAGGCCAGCCCTAGGCCCAGTGTTTTAGCGTCAAAGCCAGGGTTGTTGGAGCCAACTGAGCCCCTGGGCTTCTCCTCCTATATATAGGTCATCAGACCTATCTGTTGCTACTCATCCAACTTGAGCTCTATCTCCTTCACCTCTCTCTTGTCATAGCCATGTCTTAAGCTTCTAGTAGCTATGGTGGTAGGGTCAAGCAGGTGATTTACCCCAACTATCATGTGCTTGTCAATCGGTTCATCTCGATGACCAGGAAGAACAACAACCGTGCCTTTCACAAGTGCCCCTATTGCAACAACATATGAGAACAATATAACAACAATTAGAGTACTACAATAGTAAACAAATATTCATCACAACACCTATCTTACTATTTTTCATCAAAAGGGGTAAACCAACCTAATAAAAACACAACATCACATAGCAGCACAAAATTATTGGTTTTTTATCTACAAGCGAAATGCTTGCCACTAAAATGCCATCCACCTACCACAATTCATTCATCACAGATGTCAAACAATAGCTATGACACTTAGCATAAAATAGCAGTGTGTTTTTCTTAAACCACATCACCAAAAGAACATTAATCAAACAAACAAGCTCACTGCAACTAGCTACACTTCTTCTTGATAACTAGTTTTTGAAGTAAGAGTGAGCAAGAGAGTTATATGGGTGTGCCGGTAGAAAGCAATCAATCACAATAATTTTGGTTAATGATGAAAATCACCTCGTGCTCAAATGATTTATCAAGATGATTTTGAGATAGGTTCACTTGCTCCAAGTGATGAAGCAAGTCCTCGTTAGATCATGACAATGGTGAGGTTCAGCATGGGCATGATCAAAACCCTCAACTTGGTGCCGAAGAAGAACACAAGAAGGCTCAAGGCAACAAGCAATAAAATAGAGTACCTTTTTGTTTTAGTGATCAAGAACACTCACAATCACCACGATCACATTTAGGATACAATCACCTCCTCCACTCAGAGGAGTGTAACTCCTTGCGGGTTATCAAAGTGCCACTAGATGCTCTAACTCATTGCATATGCATTTACCACCAAGTGTAACAAACAAAATTTTTGTGTGAAAATATGCTAACACATGTGCACAAAGTGCCTCTAGATGAGATCACTCAAGCAATGCACTTGGATTCTCTCCCAATCTCACTATGATGATGAATCAATGATCTAGATGAAATGGGAGGGCTTTCTATTAAGCTCACAAGTATGCTATGTCAATAGAAATGGCCAAACACATTTGAGCAAGGTGAAGAAGTTAGAGTTGAAATGGAGTTTGTCGAAATGATCCGTTGGCGTCCCCTTCACTTTGGGCACAACGCTCGGTGACCGGACGCTCGGGCTCGATCGACCGACGCCGCCCGCCCTCGGCGTCCGGTCAGGTTGATTCACGCCACGTGTCCCCCGTCCGCTTCAAATGCTGTGGACGGACGCGTCAGCGGTCAAAAAAACATGCCTCGAGGAGCTTCTTCGAAAGCGACCGGACGCTTGAAGCTTCAGCGTCCGGTCGCTTTCGACCGAGAAGCTCCCTTTCAGGCATGTTTTTTCGATCGGACGCGAACATCGTTTGAAGTCCACTAACGATGCGCGTGGTCGTCCGTCCGGTGACCAACCCTACGCCAGAGGGCCATCGGTCGATATGACCGGACGTCCCTTTCGAGCGTCGTTTGCCATTGAGTGAAGGGGTATAACGGCTCTATTTGACCGGGCTCTATTTCATTTCCCCAATTCCATTTCAACTCTTACTTCTTCACACATTTTCATTGACATACCAACCTTTTGCATCCGCCAAAAGTTCTCCCATTTCTCCATCATTGATCCATCATCATTGTGAGATTGGGAGAGACCCAAACCCATCTCAACCCTTGCATCTAACACACTTGTGCACATGTGTTAGCATATTTTCACAAATATTTTCAAGGTGGTTGCCACCACTCTACTAGATCCTAAATGCATATGCAATGAAGGATCGAGCATCTAGTTGGCACTGTTGATAACCGCATTCCGATCTGGGAGTTTCACCTCTTAATAGTGCGGAAAGGTAACTCTATCAAACCTAAATGTGATCACACTCTCTTGTGTCTTGATCACCAAAATAAAATAAGCTCCTACAGGTTATAAACACCTTTGCCTTGAACCTTTTGTGTTTCTCTTTCTTCTCTTCAAGTTTAAGCCCTTGATCATCTCCATGCTATCACCATTGTCTCTCTTCTTTGTCATTCTTCATTTGCTTGGCTATATTGATCTTGTGATTGGTATCTCATGATCACTTGATGAACTAGGTTAATCACTCTACTCACTCATTTACATTCTTGCAAACCAAACTAGAGCTCTTTAGTGTAATTACCTATCTTGCTTTATTATTTACATTCATCTAGTTGAGCTCTTTAGAGTAGCATGGTTGAGAGCTTCAGTCACAATTACATAGCTAGTTTGTTGCCTTATTCATTGCAACTAGAATTGTTGGATAGGTGGCTTGCAACTCTTGTAGAGCTAGAGCAAGTTTGCATTACGCTATTTGTCATACTAATCAAATTGCTCTAGTTGATTTGTAGATTTTTAAATAGGCTATTCACCCCCCCTCTAGCCATATTAGGACCTTTCACTGCTGCAACTTGGAGCTTCTTTGGTGTAAGCTTCTTCTTGATCCTTATCTTCCTCCTTGGTGAAGCCTAGGGCAGCACAGTCTCTAGTGGCTTTGTCTCTATTGTAATGGAGTCTTCATAGAAAGGGTCCAGGTGCACAGTTTGGATTGGAACTGGGTCATTGTAACTAGTTCCAGACCTTGTGGCAAAAAGGCAGAGTATGCTTTAGTATTAGCAGTCATATAGAAGTGTTGTGATCAATTAAAGAGCTGGTAAACATGCATGTTAGACATACTGTTTGGACCTAAGCTTGAAGTAGTAGTGGTAGTTGCCCCTTGCTCTTCTTGGCACCAGAAGACGAAGAAGAAGATTTCCTCTTCCTTTTCTTGTGTGTAGCATTGACCACTGCCTCATTGTGTGGGAACACCATCTGGGATGGAGTAGCAACCACAATGCTAGTCTATGTGTTACAGCTTGTTGCTTTTTTCAGCATTTTCTTTGGAAGACCCCTGCATAGGAAAAGTTACATTAGTTAACTAAGTTATTAAAGCTGTACATGTATCTATAAAGTAATTTAGTTACATAGTTTACTTTTTAGCCTCCATTACATCTATATCTTCTGGATTCCCATTCTTGCAAGTGTACCAGTGATGCCCTAACTCATGGCAGATGGGGCACTCATGTTTCTTTGCCCTCTTCTTGCTGCTGCCTCCCTCAAGTGATGATTTCATCCTATTCTTCCTTCTACTTTCTGTGGGCCTAAGATAGGGAGGGTGCATGAAAAGCCATAAGTAGCTTTGGGCCACATGCTTTTGTTAGGAATACAAGGGATGGAACCCTCATATGCAACTCTGAATTTGTTGACAGAGAAGTAATCATCCACATGGTCTTCTAGTTTTTCACCAAGAATTAAAGTAATGTAGGCTATTGCATGCTTGCATGGGATTCCTGATCCCTACCAAACCCTACAGGAATAGGTTTTGTCAGGTAGGCTGACCACAAACCTGAAGCAACTACATCCCTTAGCACATAGTTCTGCCACACCATCAGGGGAGGCTGTGATCACTTCAATGTCCAGATTGTAATTGTCTTCCCTTAGCTTCTGCAGGATGTGAGGCATAATCTTTCCTTCCAACTTCTTGGCTACCTTCTTCCTATGGTTCCATTTGATGAAAATCTTCTGTCTTATAGTGTCCAGCAAGTCATCCAGGTGCTTTACCTTTTCAGGATTGATCCAATTATTGAATGACTCAGCCAAATTATTAGTCACATAATCAACCTTTGACAATGTCCTGTACTGGCTCCTGGTCCAAAGTTTCTTGTGAGTTTCTGTAGATACTTCATTGCCTTAGGTTTGGCTACAGCCATTGCTTGATAGTTCTTCTCAAACATGTAAGGGCTCCATGAATATGAAGAATCCCACAAGTGATCATCAAACACCTTTCCACTGTACCTCTTCTTGAAATTATGTACTAAGTGATACATATACTCTCTATGTTCAGCATTTGGAAAAACTTCACTAACCCCATTCATGACTGCCTGGCCACAATCTGTGCAGAATGTCAAGCCCTCTGGGGTGCCTATTGCTTCCTTCAACCTCTCCATGAACTACACCTAATTCTCATTGGTTTCTGAGTCAATTACACCAACAGCTACTGGATACATCCAGTTGTGCCCATCTACTGCACAAGCAATGCACAACTATCCCCTAAACCTTCATGTTAAAAATGTGCTATCTACTGCAAGATATGGTTTACAGCCTCTAGGAAATCCATCAACACATGGTTTCAGTGCAAAGAATAGCCTATTGAACCTGATCTTATTGTTGATGGTGTGATTATCAATGACAAGAAATGATCCAGGACTTGATTCTTCTAACTGGGCCTTAAGCCTATACATGTTATCAAAACTTTTGCCCCAAGGCCCATAAATCTTATCCATGGCAAGATTTTTACCTTTATACACTCTCTTGTAGGGCACCACAATTTTGTGTGCATCCTTCAACCTCCTTTGCAGTTCTATTGCACCTAGAGTTCTATCTTCCTTCAGCCAATCAATT